AATAGATCCAAATTTAAACTATTGTCAAGAATCATAAATGGAAAGAAGAATTTTTAAAGTTGTTTAAGTCAATTTGTTTCGTTTTAAACAGGGTCTTTATGTTCTGTGCACAGTGTGTATTTTGTTACAAACTGACACTGTGGTTTTCTAAGTTCTAGTCCATTTACTACAAATTATATATACTTGACACCACAGCAAACCATTTTGCAAATCATGCTGCTGTGCCTTTGAAAACTGCATGTATGTTTCCCTCTGCTCCAGGCTCCCATCAGTTTCCATTCATTTCCAAACAGTATAAAAATCAATTAGGAGGCTAGTAAAACTTTTTTTTTTAGCTGTGTAATCATTTACAGTGAGATCAGCCTGCACTTAAACCACATTACTACTCAACTATGAATGAATGTAGAATGGACGTTTGCTGTGTGGATAATATACAGTCATGGCCAAAAATATCGGCACCTCTGCATTTGTGTCATTTGTGATGCACCGCTTCTCCCACAAACCTGTTGCAATCACAGATTCTTTGGCATTCTCATGTTTATTTCTTTTGTTTGCACTGGAACAACAGAAGAAAGCAGAGAGAAAAGTCAAATCTGATTGATATTTGACAGAAATGCGGGGATGCCAGTAATTTTGGCCATCACTGTAACTCAGGTTTGGAGAGTTAGCCAATCGATTTTCCTACAATACGGAAATGAAGTAAACTACTGATGATATTAGAACTTTTCTGCTAAAAACAGCTGCCTCTTATGAAGCTTCCGGATGCAACAGGGATACAACTCATGTGTCACATGCTTTCTGCTCTTTGTTGCATTGTATTATTAAGTCAGTAACCACAGCATGCCAGCTCATATGAAACAGGAATTAAATAAGAAATTAAACTGTTCTTAAATCAGATTAAGTGCTTTAACTTGTGTCTTTTATGTTTGTTAATGTTTACTGAGAACACTCCGTGTGATTGTGCGGCTGTAAAGGATTTTTTTTCCTCTTACAATCTACAGAGTGAGTCAGTCAAATACTTCCTGGATAACTTGGATCGTATTGGACAACTGGTGAGCAACACTGAGAAGTTAAATCCTGAGTTCATTCTTGGTTTCTTCACCTCTTTTATCTTAAAAAATGTTTTTCTCTCTTTTGTCAGAACTATATCCCAAGCAAGCAGGACATTTTGTTCGCAAGGAAGGCGACAAAGGGCATCGTCGAGCACGACTTTGTCATCAAGAAGATTCCATTCAAGATGGTGGATGTCGGAGGGCAGAGGTCTCAGAGGCAGAAGTGGTTTCAGTGTTTTGACGGGATTACATCGATACTCTTCATGGTGTCATCGTCTGAGTACGACCAGGTACCATTCAAAGACACACATTTCTGGTTATGTAACACTGATATGGAGATGTTTTAGACATTCTGGTCATTGTTCTCTTGACTTGAAAATTACAAAATGGGCAAGAAGCAACAACATTTGAGAATTACACAAAGCTCTGTTTGTTGTTGGCTGAGAAAACTTGGTGGTCATGGCTCCAGTTCAAATCAATGGTCACAAGATAATTCTTAATTGCTCCAAAGATAAAACCTAAAAAAACATAACATATGGTGTGTGTGTCTCTGTGCGATTCCAGGTCTTGATGGAGGATCGAAGGACAAACCGCTTGGTAGAGAGTATGAACATCTTCGAGACGATTGTCAACAACAAGCTCTTCCTCAACGTGTCCATCATCCTTTTCCTCAACAAAACAGACCTACTGGTGGAAAAGATTCGCACGGTGGACATCCGCAAAAACTTTCCTGAGTTCAGAGGAGACTCACGTAGGCTGCAGGACGTACAGGTGCATGCACACACATGGGTTTTAATGTGGTCAGTTGTTTTGTCACTGATCCTTATTTTCCTCCTACTGTACATGAACCCAGTATGCTTTCATCCGCCCACACACATATATTATGCAAATTAGCATGTACAGTTTACACACTCAAACACACACAGGCTCTCAGTCAGTGGTCACAAGGAACCATTATCAATTGGGTTTGTAACCTCAAAAATACAAATCAGGTTCAAAGTAGAAAAATGTGGCAGTGTGGAGCCTATAGCTCACAGCAAGCCAATTAAATACAGGACACCAGGGCAATGACCAAATTCAACACAGGTGTGCAGCAGACCGGACCCAAAAGGCTGTAAACTCTCAGGGCATTTTCAAACCTGTATTTCATTTGCAGGACTCTGAATCAGTGGACCACTTTGTAGACTTGGTTCATTGTCCCTTTCCTTCAGTTTATTTTCACAGAGAAATATCCAAGTTTGGTCATAGCTCTGGTAACTATCTGGGTAGTACACTGTACCAAACAAAACTACAGTCCCAACAGCATGGCAAATGGACTTTGAGAAATTGTCCCGAAAAAACAATACTGCTAAACACTTTGCAGAGATGAGGTGCAGGCCACAGTCACTGAGCTCAAACTTGTGAAGAACTCCTTGTTTTAGAGGTGTGACTTTTGACAGATATAACCATATATATAACGCACATGTCGAAAAGCATACTAGTAGCACTAACACTGTTGCTTTCAGCTGAACAGATGTGCTTTTGCTCATTCGGCACATTTACGACATGATTCAGACTCAAAGTTGTTCATAATGTACAACATGTTAATGATTATGGTCATGGATTACGTTTCCTGTGAGCAACATTAAAATTTAAAATCTCCAGTCGGTGTCTCAACCCCTCAAGCTGCCTCTTCCCTTTTACACAGAAGCAAAGGTGTAACAGTTGTACCACTTTTACTACCTCTCATGGCAGAATAAAGGGGGGTCAGCACTGAGCACCTCATCCTGGCTTGATATCGTTTACGTATACACAGTGGTGGCAAACTGGCACAATAACCCTGCCTTGTACAGGCGGTGTAAAAGGAGCTTTAGTTGCACATATATATGGCCAAGAAACCTGCCTTCTCCAGGAGCAGTCTAGCTAAAGAAATCCAGTTTCTCTAGTCCTCCACCTTGACTTGTTTTAGACCATGTTTCTTGTATGATATGACATTTAAGAAATCAGGTTATTGGACAAAGGCATTTGAAAGGCATTCTTCAGTGTTGCTCTGCTCCTTGCAGGAGTTTCTGGTGCAGTCATTCAGCCGTAAGAGGAGAAACCGGGGGAAGCCGCTTTTCCACCACTTCACCACTGCAGTGGACACAGAAAATATCCGCTTTGTCTTCCATGCCGTCAAGGACACCATCCTGCAGGAAAACCTCAAAGATATCATGCTGCAGTGACCTTCACGCTGTAGATGACGACTTCTCTGACTGTAAACTGTGAAACCAGCCGTGAATTTATGCCTTGAAGGCTGCTGCAAAGGCCTGCTTTGTTCTGACACTACAGCCCATGAGCGCATATTAAACACTGACCTGTGGAGCAGTCGGTTGGTCCACAGAGTGGATCTAACTGAACTCTGAGCCCGTGGAGCCATGAAGTGACTCTGACACTGTTGGCCTGTGCCAGCCCCTGTGGAAAATGTGAGGGTCAGCAAGGACAAGGCCCTGCATTTAACCTGTAAAAATGTGTGTATGTTAGAAAGACACCGCCTTCTGATTCTTGTAGCACTCAAGTGTTCATACCTTAATATACAGGTAAAACAAAAAAAGTATAAAAAAAAAATGTAGAGAAAAGCACTAACTACATGACATAAGCACTGAAAGTGTTTTTTCTCAGATGTATATATGACTGACAGCCATGTCACTAAACCAAGTCAGACTGCTGTCGGTGGAAATGTGGCCGAAACAAGCTGCGTGAGCGAAAAGCAGGAGGGGAAAGAGGAAATAAGGAATATGGAAGTAAGAAAGTTTAGAAGAAGCTGAAGAAGGCCTTGTACTAATGCACACGTGACAGAGAGAGAGAGGGGTGAGGGCCGCACTGGTCATACGCTGTGTTAATATGATAAGGTTGCACAAGTGTTCCTGTCAGTGAACTTTAACAAAGGAAAGAGATGAATCTTATCTCATGCTCCCTGATTACTCCTGCACTGTCTTTATTTCTTTCAGTTCTCCTTCACTGGTTGTTTACTCATCAGATAAGGGATGAACAGCTGCAGATAACAAGCGGGATAACTCTCCTCTCAGCACAATAGACAGATTGTGCATCTCCTCCCTCTCCAGCAGAAACAGTAGACAGGCAAATTAGAGACTCTTCTTGGTTTAAAGAAATACACGCACATAGAGAACAACACAGCTCCTGGTCCTGCATGAATTATGGTTCATCTGTCTCTGTGCCTTTCAGTTGTTTCCTACCAACTTCCCAGTAGATACACCACTAGCCTAGCCTTAACCTGAGTCAGATTATAAGTATTCTCTTTACAAGAAGTCTTTGGGATACAGTTGCAGTGCTTGTTCTTGGTCTTTTGTCCTGTAAATGATTAAGGGAATGGCAAAAAATGACAGGGTTAGGGTTGACTCCAACTGTCAATAACCTTATTCCCATGTTTCTGGCAATCATGTTGGACTTGTGCGGCAGCCGAGGTGGGAAGCCTTACCCGCACACAAAACATCAAAACGATAATGTGTGACCATATGATCGTAACATATCATTTTAAAACCATGGGGGGAAACTATAAAAGTTTGATAGGATCTCTTTAACCCATGGTTAGGTCTAATGCCAAATGATATGTTGATCAACTGATTGGCTTATGGGCGGCACAGCTGCGTAGTCGTTAGCGCTGTCGCCTCACACCAACAAGGTTCCAGATTAGGTTGACCGGTGACTCTAACTTGCCCCTAGGCGTAAGTGTGAGTGTACGTGGTTGTTTGTCTACATGTCAGCCCTGTGATATACGTGATGTACCCCGCCTCTCGCCCAGTGTCAGCTGTGATGTTCAGGAATAAGCGTCAAGATAATGGATGATTGGCTTATTTGACAATCATTCTTTTCTCATTAATCAAAAAAACACTGCAGCCTCTCAGATGTGGTGATTTGCTGTTTTCTCTGAATGACATTATTGTAAATGAAATGTGTCTGAATGTCAGACTGTTAGTCAGGTAATGTTTGGGCTCTGGGCCACTGTGTTCACTAGTTCCTGACATTTTAAAGCTGCACTTGTCAATATATTTGTATTAACAGAAGAAGAAACGACTGCAGTCACTTGTAGTGATAAACCCACTGTGAACTATCACTTTCCTCAGTTCCCCTCAGCTCCACAGAACACTGGGTGTCTTTCAGCTCATTGTCTTGGTTTAACGGCCCATAACTTTACTTTTTTGGTTCACTCATAGTCCTGTTTTCAGCCATTTTCAGCTAAAAAGCTTGAAAAACCACCAGCACTGCCCAGCAACAAACAGCAGACAAAGTTAGCGACTAGCTGGTGGACATAGGGCGTGGCGTTTCTGTCAGGAGCCGGTGGAGATCCAAATAGAGCTGACGGAACTGTGAATATTTGACTAGCGTCCATAAGGTGACGAGAAACATGACTCCAAGTGAATGTTGCTCAACGTCTACTTAATATGTAAATACCTGCTTGATAAGACGTTTGCCAAGTCAACATTATGAGGTGAAACTATATTAATGCTATGTTTACAGATTGCTGTTATGCAGCCAAGTGCAAAAGAAACAATTTAATGGAGGCTTAAAGACCAAACAATAACCAACACATCAACTGCTCATACAAATAATCACTAGTTGCATCCCTAATTGGGTGTATTTCATCAGTATGAGTTAACTGGTAAGGTAGCATGAAGCAGAAGTACTGTGGCTATGGGTACTTCCAGTTTAATGTACTGTGCGCACTGACTGAGAATGACAGTTAACCTGTTCAGCGTTCACATGTTTGAGGTGTCCTTTTGTGTCTGTATTTTCAAAGTGTGTGTGAATTTGAACCCAGATACTTCTGAAAATCAGTTCAGAATGTGTGAAATGAAAATGCTGATTTGATTCCCAACATTTGCATGACATGCAGCAGCAGGACACATCTGGGCTGCTACTCCCACCCTGACTATTAGGTCCAAATGGCCTCGAGGGGAATGAGGCTACTCATGAGCACTCCCAATGCCTTACTATAATACTGTATTAAACTGTGTAATTTTTATGTGATGTTAATACATGCATGTTAATATCTCCTGTACATAGAATACTGTACGTATTTGACTGACACTGTGTATACCTTACAGTACACCACTAACAGTACCACTGTAACTGTAATGTTGTTGTAACATTTGTCATTAACTAACCTACCTTTTACACTCACACATGTTTGTTGTAAGTCTGCACTGGATGTGTCTGGGAGAAGACGGCCAGAAAGCAAAATGTCTGAAAAGGAAAAAAAAAAAAAAAGCCAATGAAGCAAATAAACAGGCATCAGACTTTGAAAGGCGAGCAGGATGGAAGCAGAGAATGAACAGAGGGAGGTGCTCTGCTGTTGTTTTTGTTTCCCAGTGCCCTGGCTCTGTGCTCTGTGGTGAAATACATTGCCTTCTGCTGACATGCTGTTTCTTTATTTTCTCTGTGTGGGCATCTGCATGTATTTGATTGTGTGTATGGCCAAGCAAGTGGTGAAGACCTCCTGAGTGAGAAAATGAAAAGAGGTAGAAAGATTAGCAGAGAGGGCGAAGTGAAAGAGTAAATGCTCCGAGTTCATGAAAGAGAGAACAAAATAGAAAAAATCGAATCTTTTTTTTTTTTATAAATGTCCTGGAGCAGTGTAGTCAGTATCTATGAACACAAGCAAAGCCAAAAAGCAGAGAGAGTTGAGGCTCCTGATGATAAATGTCTAAAATAAATAAATGTCTCTTGTTCCGCACAATGTAATAATGAAGCTCGCCAGCTTCAGCCATCACACTGCTGGGTGTAAAAGTAAAGCTGAAGCCGGGGAGTAGGTCTGTTACCCAGCAGAGTCGGACCTTTGCTTTGGCTTTTCATCGGAGCAGCTCTGATACATAACAGACCGCAAGTCTCAGGAGAGAGGGAGGGAGCCCAGAAACAACGAGACCAGAGTTTAAGCGTTGTTTTAGAAAGCACTGGTTAACATAGATATATTTACACAGGAAGTGAGTAGAATATAATTTAAGGTCTACACACACACACACACACACTGCACAAACACGTGACAGTCCACAGGATATCTGTAACCAAAAGAGACAAAAATGACCCTGTGAATGGGTAGGCGCGGAGTGGGGGAGGGGCAGACAAAGGGAGGAAGAGGGTATACAAGAAAAAGTAAGAGGACAGAGAGAGGGAGGAGGGGGGAGGAGGTCATGTTTCCTCTGTTGAGCCCACTTCCTGTCCTGAGCTCAAAATGGAGAGACTAGGAACGACATCCCTCCCTCTCCCACACACACATTCAGAGAGAGAAACCCAAAACCACCTCCTGCTCTATACTACAGAGGAGATGAGAGGAAAAATATATCCCCAATGGTCTCTGAAGTATAGGGAAGTCGTCATTTGAGGAGGCAGAGAGGCGCAGGACAGTCTGTCCTCAAGTCGCCGTGCAACATGCATGTGTTATGTGTGGCCTATAATATTGTATGTGTGTTAAATTATGGTCACTACTAACACTAATGTTGAATATTAGTCTGGCAGACTTAAATAAAAGCACATTAATGACAGGACAACAATGAATTGCCTCTACTCACGGTTAATGTCTAACTTGGATTATTCATCTGTGCCATAAACCTCTGTTGTTGTTCAAAAACAATTAAAACACATCAGTGACATGTCTCCTCACTGCGCTGCCTGGCATGTTTCTTCATGACAAAACACCAGACCAGCATGTTTGTTAAAATTGTTACCACAAATGTTCCGAACAGCCATAACATTTTATAGCGTCTAACGTCTGCAGTTGTGTAATCCTTATTAATGCTAGCACCCTTTTAACAGAGCATAAGGAAACAAATTAACAAAGTTGTTACTGTTTGTCCCTGTACTCAAATAACTGGCAATTATTTTATAGTGGGTTCCAGTGCTGGGTTTTGTATCTGGATGGATGAACCAGCAAGTTACAGAACAGTTTTCCTGCCTGTCAGGGTTTGTGAAGTACATGTCTCTCTATCAGCTGACCCTTGGTCAAGTCCAAACTGACAAGTCCCAAACCACTTTCTGTCTCTTTTCCTTGATTATCTTTAAATCTTCACTCATTGCAGCTTCTTTATGTTTCCATGTCTCCTTTGCTGTATCCTTCTCCTTCTCCTGTCTCCTCTCCAGTTAAATCAAGATTAAGTGACAATAAATAAATTTCCATAACTAAGCTGAAAACTCTTTGTGCTCTTTCATTAGACAAATCTGATTCACTCTCGTGCAGTGTTTACTGTACGTCTGTGGCTTCAGTGTGAAGGGGGTGTCGGTTTTAAATCACAGCGTAGCACGAGTGGGTGGTGAGTTGTCAGTTGCTTTGTCATAACAGGACTCAGTGGTGCCAAGATGGGGGATGTGATGTTCCAGTGCAAATCAAAACAAGTGATCCCAGTATACAGCCTTGAATCTGGTGCACACGGGCCCTGGACTTTGACAGAGTGTTCACATGAATCCTTTGCACCCAGACATAACAACATCAAAATCTTCTCTCTGTGTAATTCACTCCATTTATAGTAAAGCAGTGCAAAGTTGTGAAATGCAGACTTCCCAATTTTAGTATTTTCCAAGGGGTGACTAATAATGAGGCAGTGTTTGCAAGAGATCTTTATAAATAAAAAAGATAAAATGCAGCTCTCTTCTTCTTGCCAGTGAGGAGCAGGCTTCTTTTTCATGTAGTAGCCTACATAGTGATGAGTATATTTATCTTCTGTCATGAAGTACTGTGCACAATGATGCAGTCCATCAAGTTGTTTCAAGATAGAGTGAGCCATAAGAATAATATTTCTATGGTCGACTACAGTGACTGCACAATCACCCTGCTGTTCGTATTTCACCAACCCAGCGTGGTAACCACCCAGCAAATACTAATGACACCCCAGCACCCCACCCTTACAAAATGCCATACTAACACCTTAGTAACCAATTAAGAAAATAACACATTTTCTAGTGTTATATTTCTAGGTGACAAATTAAAGATAAAACCTGAATAAATGAGTTGTCCCTTCCAGGATGACAGTGCCTCCATCCACAGGAAATGAGGGGTCACTGAGTGGTTTGCTGAGAATGAAAATGATGTGAATCATGCTGTGGCCTTCACAGTCACCAAAGGGGGGAATATCTTATTTTGTTCATCCCTCCAGTAGAGTTCAGAGGTGTGTAGAATTTATGCCAAGGCACCTTGAAAATGTTATAGTGGCACGTGGTGGCCCAGCATCTTACCAAACATCTCACATTGATTTTTCCTTTGTCACCCATCTGTATGGTCGCTATAATTATGCATTAAATAAATTAGAAATATGACTGAAACCAGTATACAGCTGCGGGTGTGAAAGGGTGTGTAGTCTTTTCAGCCGCATGTGTGTGAGTAAATTTGCTCCCATGACTCTGGTAAAGCTAATGTTTCCTGCGGCTATTTTGATTGAACCTACAGCTGAACTCTGATATTTAATAATGAGCTAAGCGCTCACCCTGTTTCTGCTTCTACTATACACACACACACACACAGACACACACAGACACACACAGACACACATGGCTGCTGAATCACTCGGTGAAATATAAACAACTAGTGGTTCATTAGCTGATGATTTGCCCATGACACATCACTGGTCCCCAGACCTTCACGTCATTAATTCTCTTCTGTTTTAGTTCACACTGACAGTTGAATTCACTCAGTGATGCCTGGTGTCTTATCTGCTCTGCAGGATGTGTTTTCTGTTTTGGGGCAGAGCCTTGAAGGCAGATTGTTTGTTAATCAGGGAAGATAAGCACAACAGATAAACACATGGATAAATAATGACAACAGTAACGTGTGCACACATACAGTAGCCTTACACCTCATACAACCATTAAATTAAACATCTGGAAACAGTTTATTACTCAGTTATTACCTTCATTTGTCTCTAATCACCATTTCATTTCCGTTCTTTACCAGGAAAGGTAGTTTGGATGTACAAGGTCTCCTTCTGCTGGTACGAAAGCAGCAGTGCAACAGTTTTCTCTATTGTGGTGCAACTGTGATTTTAGGCTCTCCTCTTTAGCTTATCTGGCTGCTAAAAAAAGGAGCTAACAGCTTAGTCTTTGGCAGGCGCTGATCATTGTAAGTTCTTAGGCATAGTAAAGAGTTTCACTCACAAATGCACATAAATATCACATTCGCAAAAAGGCCTCATAAGGCATTGAGCTGCAAAATATACAGTTTACAGTTGTACAACCAAACAGTAAGGATATGTTTTCTTAGGATGAACTAATTGTGTTGTAAACATATGAGGACAGGATCAAATTTAAATAAAATAAAACTGCCTATCTAGTAGGCTGTTCTGGTAACAAAAAAGAAGTGATTTCTGTGCTTTAGAATAGAACAAAACACTGGCTTTTGTCTCCCCAGTTTCTCCCTTGACATGTTTTCCTGGAAAAAAATAGCCGTGTGGTTTTATACTTTTCCCAGACTTGTTGTTAAAAAGACTTCGACGTCTGTTTAATTGCTTGTAAAGTAGCCTATGTTCCAAATAAGAGAAAGGGTTCAGATGTCTGTCTGCTGTTACATGCAGCTTCTTAAACCTGGAGAGTTGTGTTAAAGCTCTTAAAAACAGGATCAGATTTCAAATGTCAGGCCTCAAATGTCTGAGGATGTGCCATTAAGAAATGCATCATTCACTCAGCAAGTTACACAGAGACAACTGTTCTTTTCAGGTTCAAAACATAAATGTCTCCTAGATGGGAAAATATTCTAAATATTAAGTATGTGGGACGTTGACAATTATTCTGTTGGTCTGTTTTGTTTTGCCAGGCTGGTAGAGAGCATGTCTCCATTTATGTCAAATATTCTTGAAGTAAATAAGCAACAGTGCAAGTTAAGGTTTGATGAATAAAATGCTATTTTAATATTATAAAGTTGTAAAAACTATGTTTTATCAATATATAATATTTTATGTTCTATGTTGAGGAATGAATTGGATAAACTGAATTTGGTTTATGAGTCAAATACTTTCAAGTATTTTAAATCATCTTTACTTCAAGTAGGCTGTTTAATGAATCTACCGCAAATATATGGTAAATTATTTAGTAACATAATAGATTATAAATATGCAGATAATCTATTCAAATAAAAACACATGACTCATTCCCTGCTTTAATAAATTGCTCTTTTTAGTGCAGGCCAACAGTTATTTTTATACGAGTTTGTGAATTATTAACATTAGCAAACTAATCTGCTGGTGGACCATGAGGTGCGATGTCGTGGCCACTTCTGGGTGCAGCTGTGAAGTAGCTTTAACAATAGCTATCACACCAGGAAATGTACATGTAGGCCACGGCTCCTATTAGTTTACTCTGTTTAGCTGTTAGCTC